TGTGTATGTGTGTGTGAGTTTGTGTGTGCATGTGTGTGTGTGCATGTGTGTGTGTGTATGTGTGTGTGTGTGTGAGTGTGTGTGTGTGTGTGTTGTGAAAGAGAGAGAGAGAAAGAGAGAGGGAGAGAGAGAAAGAAAGAGATGGAGCGACCCAGGGGACAGGGAGAGATGGAGAAGGAAAGAGAGAGGGACATATAAATAGAGAGAGAGAAACAAAAAAGAGAAAGAAAGAGAAAGATAGCCAAACACAATCAAAAGGATAAACTATGTTATATCAATATATTACACCCAAAAGAGTATGTCGACTTCTACATTTGGTAAATACTTCAACTAAATTCATTGTTTTCTCCCACACTATGTATTTGTAAGTTACGTTATGTTTAAAAGTATTGAGTTGTCCTCTGCAATGTTGACAATTGACTATGACCGTTTTACAAGTCTTTTCTCAATATGAAATCTATTATCTTAAGGTCCAACGTATGCAATAGCAAGGTTGCCCTAAATTGTGAGGCATTGTGGTAAAATCAGGAGCTTGTCAAAATAATGGAATCAAAGAAATTGCCATTTTCCCGCTCCATGGGCAATTTTTATCGATTTGCAATGACTTTCATGTCCATATAAAACACATTTCTTTATGGACTTTACCTAAACAACATTACAACATTGACCAAAGGCACAAAATGTAATTTGCAGTCTCCAGGGACTCCCAAGCTTTGAAAGGTACCACGCTTTGGGGGCCATTCCTCGTAAACTTTTACACCTGACACAGGATGACCCCCAGCTCCTTCACTCGTAAATATCTTGACTTCTTATCAAAATAGTTAGGTATTCTTCTCCATCAAAACGCAAGACAAATAAGCAAGCTTTATGATGATTCCCATAACTCAACATGGCCATTACCTGACAATGGCCTGTTTCCTCCGCGTCGTGACATAAAATCTTTTTGGAAGCCAAACCAACGTCTTCACTTTTGAAAAAAATATTTCAATCTCAACTGTTGGAAGCTGCTTGATAGATGCAGTTTAGAAAAGGGGAGAAGGAGAGGTGAAAGCCTTTAAGAACGATTACAACTTCATCCTCTCACACTCAGACCCACAAAAAAGGCAAAAGCAGCCAAACGGAAGTCTTAAGCAGTTTAAAAAATTGTTTTTAAAATTAATAAATTCAAACTCAAAATCGCATCGAATACAAAGTTATAGAGGTAAGAAAACAAATCCCCCCCCCCCTAAACCTCCTTTAAAAAATAAGTAAAAAAGGGGGGGGGGAGCGCAAAAAAAAATGGACATCAAGCTCTCCTTTTGTTTTGTTTTGTTTAGTATTGTATTGTTTTGTTTTCTAATTCGTGTGCGTCGTGCTTAACGATTCTTAAAGGTCGGGTCGTGTTCAGAAAGGGGATAATTTCACCAAAGTCTTGGACAGCTTCCAGAATGTAACCAGGTATTAAACCAGTCGGACAACCCGTGTGTTTAACTAACTGACGGAGTGCTTCTTGGGGGGATCCGAGGTAATTGGGCATCGTTTGGAGAGGGGGAGG